GGATTCACGTATTTATATGGTCCAAGCTAAAAAAAAAAAATCTATTTTCATTACATAGGTTAATATTTTTTTCAACTTAAATCTTATAGCAAGTTTTTCAGGTCAACTCAAATAGCCAGATATATATTCCTAGCTTTCACAGAAACAAGAGATGAAGTGGTATAGGTGTCGATACTAGAAACATGAAGAGAACCAGAAGATGAAGTGATTGAAATTTCACACTCCATTTATATTATAATATAAGTCATTTTTTAAAAATATTTATTAATGTAAAAATATAAGGTATTAAATAAATTTTATATTTTTTTAATTTATGCCCTTGGTTTTTTATCCCTTCTTTTTAAATGCTTCATATTTAAAAATTATGCATGGATTACTAAAAACACTTGAAAGGACATAAATGAAAATGTGCAGATATTTTTAAGAAATTAAAATTTCAATTAAAATTTTTTAGAGACCATGAATTAGTTTAAGGTTGCACAAAAGACAAGACGGCATTAGACTTTACCTTAACCTGAAATTCGGTCTCTTTCATGAAAAGGATTGGGTTAGGCAACCCATAGTCCAGTCTTATCCAATGATAACTCAAAGATTAACAGGACCGAACTTAGTCCATAGGACTGGGAGACTGGTTCTGTCAATCCAGTACTCACTTAGCTTTTTTTCTCTTTTTATTCTATGAGAAACAATAATCCATTCTAAGGTAATAAACTCAATTAAAATAGTAAAAATACTTATAATAATAATAAATCCATAATAATTTTCAACAATAAAAAAATATTTCTATTATAGTCTAAATGATTTAAATTTTTAATTTTAACAAAAACAGTACTCCACAAAATTTAACAACATTATATTACAACAACAATTTAGAAACAAGCTTAACAAATCTTCATACAATCATCTCCTTAACATCAATTACACTTCAAACATTTGTCAAAAATAAATTAATTATAATTATAATAAAAAATTAATAGGACTAGATTAGACCAAGTGGTCTGAATGCTTGGTCTTTTGTCCAGTCCAACCCAAAGAAAAAGTCTGGTTTTTTTAGTCTTTTTGATCCTGAAGGACAGTGACTATACAGATTAAACAAGACTGAGACCATCTCAGGTTGGATTGGACCTGACAGGACTGAAAGATTTTTACACTGTCCTAAATTAATTAATGATGACATGTATTATAGTTCGAGTAAGTATAACTAAAATACATGAAGATTTTGAAATTACAAAAAATTATAATATAATAAAACATCAATCTAATCCAAATTTATAAACTTTTACTTTACTCAAATCCGAATATCATTAGCCCAAACACAAAAGAAATGTTAGCCGCCCATGGATTAAACCGCAAAAGTTAATCTTAACATTAGGGGAATTTAAACACGTGTTTTTTATCATACGAATTAAAATAGACTCCTTTATTGGTTTTTTTTTTTTGTGAGTTATAAATGATTAGTTAAAATGTATTCTTTACACCTCTTAATAAATCCAAATTAATATTTATCAGTGCTTTATACCAACTAAACATGTTCATGAGATAGCAAAGAGACCAAAGGCAAATTTGTTTTCTTAGGCCAGTGCACTGCAGTTATTGTTTACTTGTTTGGTGTCCAATACAATTATTATTACTATTTAACTAATTCTTGAAAATTTAAAAAAATGGATAACAATGGAACATGACTGGAATGATCTCATGTGATCTGTTATATCTAATTTTAGTACGATCCATGAAAAATTAATCTGCTCTCGCCTTCTCATTGAGAGCAAATAAGCACAAAATTTAGTATTTTCTATCTTATAAATTATCACGAATATTTTTTTTTGGATATACTATGGCAAACAAAAAAAATATATATTTTTGGACATTATGTTATAGAGTGGCGAAGATGGAGAATAATAACAAGTCACGAAGATGGCCAAAACAAAGGCAATAACTTTGCCTTCAAGTTATCTAACAGAATTTTAACTTTATCCTAATTAGTTTGGTCGATCAGTCAAAATAAGAATCAAAGCAAAAATTTTGGTTCAAAATTCACAGAACTAAGGGGGGTCCTCGTATGTGCATGAATGTTCGTTTTAATGACCGTCGATTTATTGATTGGTTGGAAAACAGAAGAAAAGAAGAATCAGATACGAATCAAAATAAAAGAGTGGTGAACATTGTGTCATATGTCGAAAGCTGCCAATCTTCGGCAGATAAAAGTTGCAGAAAATGAGCGATTCACATATGCTTAGATAAAATTAGATTCCTTCGTCCAAATAAAAGGCTATATTATATTTAACTATGTGTAGATGAGGAGGGTGGTTTAAAAATTAGTGACCTAACTATGATTAATTCAATCATGATCTACAGCCAAATGAGATTTCAAGTTCCAATTCCTATGAATACATAGATATTTTTGAAAGAATTATCTCTAATTGGATTTGATATTGCTTGAACGAAACTCAATTAGATGACAATATAAAAATAATATAAATTAATTAAAATATATAAAAAAACTCATATATAAATCTAAAAACAGCAATATGCAAACTAAAATGACATTAATTTGATAACCCGCACACAATCAAACAAAACAAATTTACTAAAGCAAGAATATGACACATTGCCATTTTTTTTTTGAACTCAACAGTGTCATTTCAGGCTTATCAATTGGGGGTTGGGGGTGGAATCCAACACGGTTGATCCTATCGAAAATTTTTCATTGAATTAGTCAGAAGATTAATTGGTTTATCAGTTTATTGGTCTGACGGGCTAACCCAAGTTGGTTTTTAATACAGCGAGTTAAACGTAGGGAAAAAAAATAATTTTTGTTATGCAAGATCGAAATTCCAACATTACAGATAAAAAAATTATCCTGAAAGGGCTGTTTAATTAGAGATAATAATGATACTTTGGTGATCCTGGATATAATTAAGATCATTGTATAAATAAGAGAAAACATACTTTTTGGTTCCTCCACTTTGTTCGTATTTTGTCATATATTCCTGCACTTTTTTCAATATTTTAAGTCTTTACACTTTTATTTTTTTATGTTTTAGATCCTTAAATGAATGAAATAAATAAAGTGTAGAGATTTTGAATGAATGTGAAACACTGAAAAATAAAAGTATAAAGATTTCAAATACTGAAAAAAATATAAAAATTTATAATAAAATATAAGCAAAATGCCGGAATCAAAATATATGTTTTTTTTTTAAAATAAATTAAAGTACCTAGTACGAGCGGCTCTGGTTTTGCATCTTTTGATCTTATTTGGTTCAAAGGTTATGTTCGAGGTTCCCCCAATACGTGGGAAAAGGCGGCCATTTTAATTTGTTGGTTCTCTGATAATATCAACCTCTTAATGATGATCAAGTATAGCTTCCTTTATTCTTATTTTTATTTTGATTTGATTTTTGACCCAAAACAAATTGGTCCCAGTACCATAGAAGGACACCATGAATATTCTCAGCAGTTTTTCCATAATAAAGCACTTCCTTCATTATAAATTTAATTAATTTGATTGATTGGAGTATATTACAGCTTTATTATAAATTTTATCTTGGTCATTGTAGGAGTGCATTTGTGATCTAGATTAGATCCTTCACTATCACCAATTGACTAATATTTATACACTGACTGACAAACAAATGTGGGCCAAAAACGTCTGAAATAAAAAAAAAAAGAAAATTTATTTGATTGTAATATTTAAAAACAGTTTTAAAATTAAAAAAAATTGAGTAATACTAATGGTCGCCCACAAGTAATGATAATGATTTATAATAGTGATTAATCAACGTGACTATAGTTTTTAACAATCAAGTGTAATGCATTTCAAAAATAAGAAAAATAAAATGAAAAAAAGTTTTAAGATGTTTCTTTTTTTGTTCAAAATGAAATAGTTTTAAAGATAATTAAATTCAAAACAATCACCCAATCAAGTTTTTTAATTTTTGTTTTCAAAAGCAAAAAAACTCATGCAATCCAATTTTCTTTGAGTTTCACCTTTTCTTTTTCACTAAACCTTCTCTTCTTCTTTATTTATTTATGTAAAATTATATATATATATATATATATATGTAAGCTTGATCTAAAGTATTTATTAAAGTTAAAACAGGTCAAATAAATCAAATAGTGCTAATAGATATAGCATGCTTGACGTAAGATTCTTCTTGTTTTTTTAATACAATTACTTATTATTAATGAATTAAGCTGGCTATGATTATATTGACGGCAAAGCTTTACCAACGAGTATTTAACAAAATTGTATATTTAAGACTTAAACTTTAGGCCTCTTGAAATAAGATTCTAATCTATGTACTTGCAAAATGTAGGAAACAAGTCCTCTGAAATTAAGATCTATGACTTAACACTGAAGTTTTTTTACTCCCTATTTTATTATTTTGTTATAAAACTATAAAATCTTTTACCTCTTTTTTAAAAGGTAAATTTAATGAAATTCAAATATTGTTAACTTCAACATTCATTCCCTCGAATATATGTCGTTATCTTTTACTAAAGTAGACCAGTTTTCCTGGGTCACTATTTTTTTTTGCCTCTACATTTCTACTATAATATATATGTGATATTTTTTCTAGGGAACATATATATAATGTTAATTTACAATTGTAAAAGATTCGATTTTAACTTGTACGAAGCAAGAAGGATGACAAAGCAATTGCTTTTTTTTAATTATTATTATTTCTAAATTCTAAGACGGCAAATATTTTGAGTCCAAAGTTACATATCAGCGTCATTGTAAATTCAGGATTAACAATGAACCACTAAGTAATGGAAGCCCAAAAACAAGGATGCTTTTAAAGTCATGGGTCTATAGTGGCCCATATTAAAATCTTTGGGCCAAACAATTTTTGCTTTTGGGCTTCAAAGAAAGCGAGCTGGGCTATGATGAATTCATAACCGAACAGCCCAACGATAGGTCACGCCAGGACGATGAACGCTCCAACCCGGGTCGAAGCAGAAATTGGTGTATTTTCATTTCAGTTTCCTCTTAAACCACCATGTTCGTTCTTGCGAAACACTTGCTTCCTTCTGTTGCTGCATGCCTCTTCAGTAGAGACCAGAGTACTGCCAAGTAAAGCTTGTACTCTTGTCTTTTCTTCTCCTCTCTTCTCTGAGCCCTCAATTAATTTCTTTTGGAGTTTACTGTGTTCTGGTAATTTCTTCATTGATTCGTGATCCATATTTTTTGTTGGATTGCCAAAAGCTGTATGCAAAGTCAGTAGTAGTTGTTTTGAAGTGCAGTGCTTATACAGATTGCTACCTTTTGCTCCTAAACCTTCATATTTGGACTGTCTAAGTGCTTTCATGTGGTTCATGTAACCTTTGGGCTATTGATTTTAAATTACTCCATTCACTGCTTTGCTGTTCGACATATGTGATTATGCAAAAATACTGTAGCTTAGGTTTTCCAGATGATATGTGCTAAACCAATGGCCAAAAAAGCTACAGTCGATTCTTCTTAGAATTTTTAGAATGGTTGCTCGTCATAAGTGAAATGTAAAATGATCTTGTTTTAGTTTAGTTAATGGTCGCTCTCCTTTCCAAGATAATATTATCTTTTATAAGCGACGAAAGGAAATTTTGCTCGTTTAGATGCCAAAAATATGGCCATTTTCAGTTCTGTAGATTTCCCTTCAGTTCGGAATAACATGGTCATTTTGTTATTGACTTGTGATGACCGATGTCAAAATTTAATTGCATCCATTCTGAATTGTAATTAATGTCCGGCTAACAACTATTAATTGCAGCCAAGGTCATCTGGTAAAGTCATGGATACAGATGAGGAGTTGTCAATTGTTCTCGAACTATCTAAAGATGACATTTTCTATGATAAAAAGGAGGTAAAAGCGAGATAATGGAATTTTTTTAAATAAATCGCTTTAGTATCTATTTTTGGTATTAGTATCTCTTTGTAATGATATGATTTCCAGGTAAGCAGTTGATTTAATATTAGATGATCGAATAATGAACAACACAAGGAAATCTATATTCCTGATGAGAAATTCACAAACAGAGTTTGTAGGTGGCATTTTGTTCTGTGGTGCTCATTATTAAAAAGTTTTGAGTATGAGAAAATTTGAACTTTAGATGGCAGCACACTACATATTATGTTAGAGCGGGTAAATTGTAGGGCAATAGGTTATCTCACTGACATTGATTTCAATAGTAATAATCGTTTTGGACTTTCCTTAATTGCTTCTTATTGATTTTTGTCCTGAGTTTTTCTTATATCCAACCGGTTAACTATTTAACACATTTTTATTAAACAGAAATTACTACAAAGTAAAGGTTTTAGTGCCAAGGAAGTAGTGTGTCTCCGGAGCTTTTCAGAGCCAGGTTGTATGAGTGATACTGTGAAAGTACTGGTTCAGATTGCAAGAATCATACATTTGAATGAGGTTGATTCCGTTGCTCCTTTCTGAAATACTTAAATTTAATTTAATATTGTTGCTCTCAAGACATAACTAGAGTTATATACAACCAATAGTTTATTGTCTTAGGTGATTCTTTACCTTATTAGGAATATCCTTACAACCTTGTATTAAAATTTCCCTTTAAGCTTTTAAGTTCCTGTATTCTGTGATCACAGTAACCTCTTGATCTATTGAACGGCGAAAAGCGGAAATAAATTGCACCCAACGTTTCCCTTGCCCCCTCTCATTCTATGGATTCCAGCTCGTTAAATAACCAATTTTACTGAATTTCAGGTGGAACTTTATTTTGCTGATGATGCAAGTACATTAGGGGAATTTTACAGCCCTAGGAATGAGTTAGAGGCTCTCAATTCCATCATTTCCCTCATTGACACATTACTTTCTAGTTGTAAGCATCCTCACACAAATTTACTGCGAGAGTTGCGGACAACAATTCTTGCCTTAATTTCTGATTTTGGGGGCAAGGACAGTTTGGAAGCAAAGGTCGAAAAAGACCACAGATGTGAACAAGAAGAACAACTCTTAGAATGGGGTAAAAGCAATGGCATAAAGACACAATTATGGATAGCATGTAAGTTTCATTATTGCATACTTAATTTTTGTTTTCTAATGTTCTTTGGTTGTAAGGGGATGGCTTTGTTTGCTTCAGACAAGGATAATTTTAATCCATGTTGATGACCTTTTTTGCCTGCACTTTATAACAGATGTCAAAGGAGCAGGTCGAGGTGGCATAGCAGAAAAGGATCTTAAAGTTGGAGATATTGCTCTAGAAATTCCAGTATCCATTATCATTAATGAGGAGCTTGTGCATGAAACTGATATGGTACAAGTCCTTGCAGGAAATCTTGAACATTTCTCGGTTAAAATTTCTTTATGAAACTTACATTGACCAACTGTCATAATAGGAAACAACTAATGGACTATGATCAATTATATGTAACCATGCATACATTTATTCTACCTTTTTACATTCAATATGCTGCTATGATGTTTTAGACTCATAATAGATATTCATACACATGTCGAAAAATAATTTTGACTATGATGCTAGAAAAATGTGTGGAAGAAAAGAATCTTGTGTCCATTACTAAATATTCTCAAATACTGATTGTTGTCGGTCTTGCCCTTTGCAGTACTGTGCCCTAAAGGAAGTTGATGGCATATCACCTGAGACAATATTGCTATTATGGAGCATGAAAGAGAGGCACAATCAGGATTCAAGATTCAGAGCTTACTTTGACTCGCTCCCAGAAAACTTTAATACTGGTAATTTGACCACTGATTTATGTCATGTGCTGCACACAAATACATAATTCTGTATTGTTAGGCTTCACAAATACATAGAACATGTATCCCTACTAAAATAGTTAATTGTATTGACCCAAAATTGTCAGTGTGGGTTGAGGTTCTTTATACTTAGCATCTACAGGTGAGTGAGTGACAAAAGTGTGCTGTTGTAGGGCTACGAATGCCTGCAAATAGTAACTCTGATTCATTTTATAGGCATCTCAGGGGTACTTTTCTTTCTGTTTCATAAATTTGCCAATTTATCTTGCAAGCGCTCCCCCTTTGATTGCCTTCCTTATCAACAGTGGAAGACTGAGTGCATGTACTGACAGATAGATTGAAGAGTAATTGCGATCAGATACCTCAAAAAATGTGGGTTTGGCTAAACTATCGATGCACCTGTAATTGAGCCATATAACATCTATCTGCGTACATATTATTACGCAGGGTTGAGCTTTGGTATTGATGCAATCACAACATCAGAAGGAACCTTGCTCTTGGAAGAGATAATGGAAGCAAGACAGGTAATTATGTGTTCCATTGTTTTCATCTGTTTATTGATTATTTATTTACATTTAGGGTCCTGCATCTTTTGGTTTCAAAGTAAATCCATGAACCTAAACTTATTAATTTATTCAGTTTATTGGTCTTATTAATGTCATTTAGCCTGCTGGATCTACCTCTTGCTCCCTTTTTTAGAAGTCACCTAAAGATAAGGCAGAATTTGGGCATTGTCTAGGATATAACCTTGTTTAAATTTAAGTTTGGTTGAGGGAGTGTCCAACTTTACACAAACTGCAAGGTTTATCCTTTCATTTGCTTTAGCATCAATCTGTTTGCTGGAGCAATGAATGATACCTGCAACATCTCTGAAAGATATGTCAAGGAATTCATTGAACTTTGTGCTATGCAGGTTGAACTTGTAATTTCCATATGCATTTAACCTTGAAGAGAAGGGTGGAAAAGGCTTTAGAAAAGGCAAAAATTGATCTGTAGTGGTTTAAAGTTTGCAGTCGTCTCTTTCAAGCAAGTTAAATACTTAAAATTTCCTCTGGCTATGATCTATTAATTCACAGCATTTTAATGGAATTGCTTTCAACTTTCAAGAAGCAGATTTAAGGCCACATGGATAAGCTACATTCTTCCAGAAATATTGTGTAGGAGGCTAAGATTTGATATGTCTTCTTTTAGATGGCTGCTATTGTATGACAGAACTTTTCATTATTATATTAATTTCTAAGGAATGCTATTAACTGTTGGGTCAAGCATACCTTTATTTTATTTATACAGTATATGTTGTTAACTGTTTCCCCCCTCCAAAAGAATGACGTTTATATGTTTACTTTATTGTGTGCAGCATCTTCATGCTCAGTATGATCAATTATTCCCTACTCTGTGCAATGCTTTTCCTGATATATTTCCACTAAAGCTGTACACGTGGGAGCAATTTCTATGGGCCTGTGAACTCTGGTACTCAAATAGTATGAAGATAATGTTTTCTGATGGGACTTTAAGGACGTGCTTAATTCCTATTGCTGGATTTCTTAATCATTCGGTATGTATATTCTCTTTCTTTCTTGTGTCCCCCCCTTTCCTCCCTCCTTCTATAGTTCATCCACTGTTCCTAGAAATTTAAGGTGTTTTTCTAATATTGTGATTCAGTGAGTAAAACAAAGGTAGTTAAAATTCAAATTAAAAGGACTCCAATTACCTTATAACATGTGCATATTCTTCCAGAACCGAATTAACATTTCATTTCTCCATGTTTCCCTCTTTGCCTATTTAGATTATTTGTCATGCCTTATGTGCTCTACACCTTTTTTTTTTTTTCCTGGGTTAACTATTTGCTTTGATTACCGTTCTGAGTATAAAAGTAGATTTCATTTGGACAATGATGTCTTATTGATGATTACTTAGCTGGAGCTGAGAATGTTATATGTAATTCCCTATTGTTTGATTCAGCTTTCGAGCCATATTATGGAGCCTTTTATGAAAGTTAATCTATTCATTTTCTGGTTGCTGACTACAGTTGTGCCCACACATTCTGCACTATGGCAAAGTAGATCCTGCAACAAATTCATTGAAATTTCCTCTTTCAAGACCATGCAGATCTGGAGAAGAATGCTGTTTAAGCTATGGGAACTTCTCTAATTCTCATCTCATTACCTTTTATGGTTTCTTACCACAAGGAGACAACCCATATGACGTCATCCCACTTGGTAATGTCATGCATCTCTCTCTTCTCTCCATATGTTTCTCATCTCAAGTAATGTATAATGATTGTTTGATGTTGTCATTTGTCTTGTGGAATTTAGTGCCACTATTGTTAGTTTTTCAGAGCTTGCCTAGAGGGATAAGACTTCTTGTTATTATTGTTGTTGTATTCTGAGTTTTTCATAGCTCATGCTTAGACGCTTACCATGTTCTTGTGCTGGTAGAGACGCTTACCATGTTCTTGTTCAGACATTGATGCTTCTGGCGTTGGCTCCTTGGAGGATGAACCCGTTTCCAGCTGGAGCAATCACATGGTGCGGGGTACTTGGCTCTCCAACAACCACAATTTGTACTACTATGGCCTCCCCTCCCCGCTGTTGGACCATTTTCGAAGATGTCGAAATCCCATGTTGCATACAAAGACCTTTGTAATCCCTTTCTCTTGCTAATTTTACATTTCATGTGGTTATCCACCGCTGTTTTTGGCTCTCCAAAAACACATTAAATGCAGTGACAGCATGATATTTTCAATGTCAAATATGCAGTTAAATTTTGCATTTTCTATCAAATTTTCACTGATTGCTTTTTTCATGATATGAATGCCATTTTCCTTACAGTTGCAAGGGGACTTGGAAAATGAGCTGGAAATTCTAGAAGATCTCAGATTTATCTTCGATAACATGATGGACAATTTGGATGACACAAATCTTGATGATAACAGGTAATGGCATTTGATAGTGTTTCCACCTAATTACTAGCAGAACACAAGTTTCTTATACAATATTTTCATTTTGTTTATTTTCAGAGAAAACTGCAGTTGGGATGAAAAATTGGCACTGGAGTATAAAATTCTACAAAGACGAATGGTCTCCTCTATCTCAACTTCATGCAATACTGGCATCGACGTGGTCAAGAATGAACTGTATAAGTGCATGGCCGAGGACATCCGAGGGTAGTTGAGTGGCCTGAACTGAATCAATGTGTCATCCATCCGTTCTCCCCAAAAGGTGCTTTTTTGAACTTTGTCTCTTTGATGAACGATGAAAACGATCATACAGCTTTGCTGTCATTCGTCTGTGATAATTCGTTTTTGCCAACAAAACGATCATCACTTTGGCCGCAAAAGTAATCCAAATTTCGTTCTGAATTCAGAAGGTTTCTCAATTGGAAAATTGATTAGTTTGGACCATCTAGATTTGAACTAAATGGCGCATCAAGTGTCATTTTCTGCCCAAGGTGGCTGATTTTTATTGGTGCAAGGGGAAACCAAAATGATGTGACTTTACTTAAGAAATATTCTAACAAATAAAAAACATATTAGTCAGAGGAAGAACTCCGATGAGATATCTTATTCAGCTTAGTTGCCTATTCCACAATTCTTGTACCTAGAATTATTATCATGATTATTAGGATAAGTTCACGAGATCGTTGACTTTAAGAGGTGTCCCTCTTAATTATAAGGCTGTCTACCCTTAATTATAAAACTAAATAACACATTAACGTTGTTAATTTTAAATTCATAGCATGTAACAACAATGATGCTATACAATTAGTTTACCTGACAAAAAAGTAATTTTGAAGACACATGTAAACTAATCTAATTAGATGATATTTTGTTCGTGTGTTCACGAGGCGGGACATAAATGTCTTAATTGTTACATTTTTCTGAAATTGTTCGCCTTTTATTATTGTCCAAGCAAAACGGTTCTCCTTCAAAATTAATGCTTTAAATCTTAATATATTCACGATGTTCAATGTATTTAATATTTAATTTCTAATTGTTAATTTATACTCGATTTGGTTTTTATTATAAGATATCTCTCTAATTACCTTATTGGAATCAAGGAGATGTGATCAAATTGTTAATTTTGTTTAAAAATAAAATAAACTTCTAATTTTATTTCTATTTCAAGAAAAATTTTTGAAATTTACATTACATTATTTCTATAATTAATGAATTTAAATAAAAATAATATTAATAAAATATAATTAACATTTCATTAAGTATCTTATATTATATAATGAGGACCGGAAGGAGTATTAGCTTTTGATTTCCTTAGTAATAATCTGTATTTTTTTGCCAAAAATATCTATTCTATTAAAACTTGATTTATGTAACACATAATTGTTTTTCTTAAAGATTTTTAATAAGTGTTCATTAAAACAATAATTATAATTTTTTGGGATAAATTTTCATTTAGAGTCAATTAATCTTATTCCTAATTCCTAACAAGAAGGTGAAATAAATTTAAGGTTGTCGGATATTCATAAAAAATGATTTCTTATCATAACAAGTGAAAAAGTGTGTGTATATATTATAAATTATAAAATATAATTAACTATGAGTTTAATTTTTCAATTAGACCAACAAAAAAAAAAGAAAAAAGAAAAGGCCACACCGTCATTTCAAAGCCAAGCTCAATATAAAAGGATGATGATGATGATGATGATCTCAAGTACGTATTAGTTTTAGTTGTTCGAAAAATAATAAAACATCTCAGACAAAAAAAAAAAAAACAAAAACGATATCATTAATAGTTACGCTTATGAACATAAACCGCTGGTAGCGTCACTCTTAAGCAATCCTAAGGTCCTTTCAAGGCAACCCTGGTCCGACGAGCGAGTTCTGTGGTGGGCACATTAGTAGCCATGGGGCTGTAGGATTGTGCGAACACGGTGATCGGAAACTGGCATCTCGGAGGATCAACATCGGAGAGAGGAGAAGGGTTAGCATCGCTTTGGAGATGTTGATGAGGCCCAGGTTGCTCTTTCGAGCCTAGCAGCGGACTCGACAGATTCGTTTCATGCTTTCATCTTTTTCTCTTAGATTTCTGTATGATTGGAATGTTTGGAGCAAGTTAATTTGTCTTTCTTTCTGAACAGCAAGATTTGTTGTTTTCGTTGTGTTTGGAACTTTCTCTCTCTGTTTTTAATTTCCCTCTCCATAACTGTAACTTTTTTCTGTGGCTTCCATTTCCTGGGGTTTAGATTGAATCATAAATTCTTCCTAATTAACTCCATTAAAGTTGTGTTTCGATTATTCAGTAAAAGGAAATTGATGGAATTTCGGTCTTCCATTTTAATGTGCTTGAAATGCGATCGAAAATGACATTTTGATTTGGTTTTTTTAAAATGTAAATTTTCTATATATGTTAGTCCTTAATTAAATTTCACTAAACTTACTGTTGACTGTAAAGATCTTATTCACTTAATCCTCTGATTAGTTCTTTGACTTGGCTTTTAGAAAACTATTATAACAGTAGGATTCTAAACGCAACGGTTACCTCAGTTGATTAAAAAAAAAAAAATGGCTACCGACTTGATCAACTGGCATTTTCATGATACTGTTTTTTTTTTTAAAATACCTACCATTTATATCTCCGTCTTTCAAGGAAAAAAAATGCTAAAAAATATTGTGCAAATATTCCAAGGGGATGGGGAATTCTTACTTCAGCATTAGTTATTTGTACGCAGCAACAAATAGCTTAGTGGACAAGCATGGTGTAGAGGCTGATCGCAAGTATTGGAGACACAATCCTCTTCTGCATCAGTGGTTGGTTCGTAAAGATTCTTTGGTTTTTTGTTAAGGGGTGAAGATTTAGCTTAGATGCATGCAAGAATCTTAATTTGTTGTTAGAATATTTGACAAATTAGGTCCAATGATGTGCTAGAGAACTGGAAAATCTTAGGCCTTTTTTTGAGTCCTTCCACTACTGTAAATCAGCACCACCTGCAATGTATAGCCACAAAAGCCTACAGTTATGCGGTTGATATTTCAGATTTCTCACAAAAATATTTGGATTTAATGTTTTTTACCTGTGTTGCTTGTTTTGACGGCTCCTATATAAATGTAGGAATGTTTTGAGTGTTTTAGATTCATTAACCTGGAGTACAAATATAAAAATGTTCTAACCATTTTTGAATTCTTGAAATTGGATTCCAAATGTGGAAAAATTGTGATCTTTTTGGATCCTTGAATTTGGAATACAAATGTTGGAATATTCAAATCTGGGAAAATTGACCGTTTTGGAACCTTGAACTTGGAACACAAATGAGGAAAAATTATGACCTATACCAATGTGGGATAATTGTGATCATTTTGGATTCTTGAACTTAAAATAGAAAGTTGCCTTGTGATTTGTTTCAATTGTATATTTAGCTTTCTCAATGCATTGTTTGATACTTGTCTTGAATGTTCTTACGGGAAAAGTGGGATTGATATTTGGCTTGAACGTGACTTGTTACGATGCCTTATTTTTTCTTACATTCATGTCTTGAGATTTTTTGGAGTAGCATATGTGGCATATATGATAAATGACAATGCATTTGTTTGAAAATATGTCTTTGCTATTTTATTTGAACTTGCATCTGTGACGCACTCCCATTAGGCTCAGTGATGTTTATATCATTTGATGTCTAATTTAAATGTGCATAAATACAATTATAGGGGTCTACTTTTGCTCTTCAATTCAGACTTTCGTGTCTTTGCTGCTTGTAGTCCCTATACATATAAATTCACATACACAAATGTGAGAATGTTATGATTGTTTTGGATCCTTGAACATGGATTGAACATGTGGGAATGTTTTGATTGTTTTGGATCCTTGAACATGGATTGAACATGTGGGAATGTTTTGAATCTTTTAAATTTGATTACAAATGTTGGGGGATGTTGTTTCAACTGATTTGAATCCTTCAATTTCAATTACTTGTGTGAGAATATTTTGATTGTTGTGGATCCTTTAACCTGGATTACAAATGTGAGATTGTTTTGACCGTTTTGGATCCTTTAATTTTGATTTCAAAAGTGGTAACATTGTGATCGTTTTGGATTCTTTAACTTGAATTATAAATGTGCGATTGTTCTCACCATTTTGGATCTTTTAACTTTGATTGCAAATGTGAGAATTTTTTTTATCATTTTGAATCCTTAACTTAGATTTTAAATTTGAGAATGTTTTGAATGATTTGGATCGTTTTATTATGATTACAAAGGTGGGGACGTTTCGACTATTGTGGACCTTTTAACTTAGATTTTGATGGTTCCTATACAAATGTGAGAATGTTCTCACAATTTTTGATCTTTCAACTTTGATTACAGATGCGGGAATGTTTTGATCGTTTTTGATCCTTTAATTCAATTACTAATGTGGGAATGTTCTGATTGTTTTGGATCCTTTAAATTCGATTATAAATGTAAGAATGTTGTTTTGGAATGTTTAACAGATTTTGACGGCTCCTTTATAAATGTCGAAATGATCTGACTGTTTCAGGTATTTTGAAAATGATTATAAAAGTGGGAGTGATGTTTTGGATCTTTTAATATAGATTTTGATGGTTTCTATACAAATGTGGGAATGTTTAGATTGTTTTGGATCATTTATCTTCAATTACAAATGTGAGAATGTTCTGATTGTTTTAGATCCTTTAAATTCGATTACAAGTGTGAAAATGTTGTTTTGGACATGTTAATAGAGATTTTGACAACTCATTTACAAATATCGAAATGTTCTGACTATTTTGGACCTTTTAACTTCGATTACAAATGTGGGAGTGAAGTTTTGGATCTTTTAACATGGGTTTTAACGGTTCCTATACAAATGTGGGAATGTTCAGACCGTTTTGGATCCTTCAACTTCGATCACAAATGTGGGATTGTTCTGACAGTTTTGGATCCTTTAATTTCAATCACAAATGTGGGATTGTTCTAATAGTTTTTGATCCTTTAACTTGGATTTCTAGTGTGGGATAGTTCTGATCATTTTGGATCCTTTAACTTGGATTACAAATGTGGAATTCTTTTGAACATTTTGGATCCTTAACTTAGACTTTAAATTCGAGAATGTTTTGATCGATTTGGATTTGTTTATTACAATTACAAATGTGGGAGAGTTTCGACTGTTGTGGACCCTTTAACTTAGATTTTGATAATTCCTATGCAAATGCGAGAATGTTCTCATAATTTTTTATCTTTTAACTTGAATTATAGATATGGGAATGTTCTGATCATTTTGGATCCTTTAGTTTAATTACAAATGTGGGTATGTTTTGACTGTTTTGGATCCTTTAAATTTGATTACAAAGGTAAAAATGTTGGTTTGGATCATTTAACATAGATTTTGACTGCTCCATTACAAATGTCGAAATGTTTTGACTGTTTTGGATCTTTTAACTTTGATTACAAATGTGAGAGCGAAGTTTTGGAACTTTTAATATGAATATTGATGGTTCTTATATAAATGTGGGAATGTTCAGACTGTTTTGCATCCTTCAACTTCAATCACAAATGTGGGATTGTTCTGATAGTTTTGGATCCTTTAATTTCGATCACAAATGTGGGATTGTTCTGACAGTT